CAATTTTGCAGCCGTCGGTAGTGATGGAATCACAGTCCAAAATAAAAATGAAAGCTCGTTCCTCGGACGTATCTATTTCCACTGTACATATTTATAAAAGCCCAATTGCAACTCATCACGATGTAAATACATTGCAAATTTTTCACATTTAAAAAATTCTGACTAGAGCCTCGCCTGACTTCATGTTCTCCATAAACACACAATTTCATCAAATGTCGGAGAACTATAACTTATATTTGTCACTTATAACTTGTGCTTTTTAATTGTACGAGAACCTTTACTCACGTGGTCCACTCATTTTTTAATCTAAAAAAAAAAATTCTCCCCAGAATCCAGAAGTCCGTGAATCATCATTAAAAACATTTAATGCAACCTATGAAACTCATTCCATTCTCATCAACCATAACGCGTGATTATCCCACGTGACCTTCTGAACGACCTCTAAATAGGCAACATCGTCCCTTTGGCGGTGTCTCCATTCGACAATATTCGAACTAAATATTACTAACGATCAAATAAATCTTACGTCAAACCAGGACTCGTCAAGGAGAAGGGAACAGCCATTGAGGGAGTGAAATAAGTTGTGTGTCATTAAATCAATCAGAAATTAATCTACATTGAGAAATGCTGTTGAGAGCTACCAGTCAGCTGCGCAATGATTTGGCTCGGGTGACAATACGTAATGCTGTAAAAACCAATGTTATCCGATGCTTGACAACTCGTCGATTCCACAGAAAGTCGCAGCCCAGGTATTTAAATTTCCACCATCAATACTGCAGACAATTTTTTGTTATAAATTGCAATGGTTGAGCTAAAGTTAATGAGGTTAGGTTAGCTCTTAGAGATTCAAAAACGGCCATTGATTGGATAACTTTTACAAATCATTGAGTAGAATTCATTTGCAGAAGTCAGGGATGCAATTTTTTGAGATCGACATGCCCCTGGAGGCAACAGTTTCGATTTTACGCGGATTATCCAGATCATGTGAAAGTCACTCTGCCTGCGCTATCACCTACGATGGAGACGGGGACGATTATCAGTTGGCAGAAGAAAGAAGGTAGTAATCTATTCAGTTACCTATTTTTCATTCGATCCAGCAATTCAATGGCTTTCTCTAAATCTTCACGGGAAGACTAGCGCCTAAAAAATGGGTAGATAACATTTTTTTAGAGACGAGGGGATTTGCCAGACCGTAAGCCGCTGAATAGATTACAAAATGATTCTGACTCCCAAATGTGATGTAAATCCTACAATGAGGTGTATGGCAGATTGATTCAATTAATTCTACACAGAAGAGTTCAATAATTGGAATTTAATTAATTGATATATCAATAGGTGACAAACTGAATGAGGGTGACCTTCTCGCTGAAATTGAAACGGACAAAGCTACGATGGGGTTCGAAACTCCAGAAGAAGGTTATCTAGCTAAGATTGTTGTACCAGCTGGGACTAAGAACATCAGCATTGGCTCTCTTGTTTGCATTATCGTGGAGCAACAGTCAGATGTAGCGGTATTTAAAGATTTCAAAGATGATGGAACTGCTGTCTCACCTACACCTGCTGCTCCAGCTACAGCTGCTGCACCACCACCACCTCCACCAGCAGCACCAAGAGCTGCTTCTACCCCTGCGGTCGCCCCATCAGTGCCTACTAGTGCTGGAGATAGAATTTTTGCAAGTCCCATGGCAAAAAGATTAGCTGCTGAAAGAGGATTAAGCCTTCAGGTACATTGAAATATATTTCAGAAGGTATTGAAATGCAGTGAAAATATATTCACTCAATTAATATATTTTTTCTGCCAAAAAGGGATTGAAAGGATCGGGACTGTTTGGGTCGATAACTTCCAAAGACCTGGATGGCGCATCACCGGCATCTGCTGGCTCACCTGGAATTGCATTTGCTGGAGGAGTTGATATTCCCGTATCTAGCATCCGTGGTGTTATTGCAAAACGTTTATTAGAGAGCAAGCAGACAATCCCACATTATTACCTATCAATTGATGTTAGAATGGACTCTGCTCTAGCCATAAGAGAACAATTCAATAAAATGCTGGAGAAGGAGAAAGTCAAGTTGAGTGTCAATGATATCATCATCAAAGCTATTGCTATGGCCTGTAAGAAGGTACCTGAGTGCAACAGTGCTTGGATGGGAAACGTAATTCGACAGTAAGTTTTGCATCATCACAGCTGTAACTCTCCTACTACCTATATAATAGATAAAAAAAAAACAATTTGAAGTGTTGATTTTACTTGCCACTGACTGAATATCGCAGTGTCATTATTTGGCAATCCCCTGCTGGAAAATTTTAATATTAAAAAAAATCAGTTAATGAGGTACTCTGAAATTTTTTAGGTATGATAATGTAGATGTCAGTGTAGCTGTAAGTACGGACGCTGGCTTAATTACACCAATAGTCTTTGGAGCAGACTGGAAAGGTCTTGTAGAAATCAGTAAAGACGTCAAAGCACTAGCAGCAAAAGCTCGGGAGGGTAAACTTCAACCTCAGGAGTTCCAAGGTGGTACGATTACAAT